ATTTATATATATATATGTTTTTCATGGATTTTTCAGTTTTTTAAGTTGATTCTTTTTTAGGTTTTAGACACCCATGAAGATATTCAAGCTTCTTTATCACAACCAATTAAAGAAGAAAACTATTCTGAATTGGAGGAAGAACTTGCTGAACTCTTATCAATGGATATGAAAGAAAAAGAACAGACAGAAAATAAACAGGATAAAACTCAAAATGATAAAGTTGAGAAACCAATAGACGATTCTAAAAAGACAGCTGCATATGCATTAGAAACTGTTGAACTAGAAAAAAAATTTCAAAATTTGAAATTGCCTGAAGTGCCCACAAGTGATTCAAATCAAATTAAAAATAAGTTATCACTTTAAGATTATCTTTTTGTTATTGTTTGTTCCTTTATTGTATATAACATTGTTTACAAGTTTTTTTTATTTACTATGTTTTTTTACCTTTAAATAAATGTTTTATGAATTATAATTTATTTTTTAAATTATTAGAAAAACAATTTAGGGATTTTTACTACATTGTAGTAAAAATCTGTTAATTATAACAGTTTTACCAAACTTTGCCGTCATCAGATGGAAANTGTTAATTTTTGAGTTACTGTTATGTGGATTATTATTTGTACGAAATTCATTTATAATTAATAAAAAAAAGAAGAGCTTTTCTACGCATACGACGTGTCGGTGAAGTGGGGAGGAGCTTGGGTCAATACCGTTTCCAGACGTCAGAATTGGATTAAAACCTTGACACTATCACACAACATGTGCACTTTACGTTATTTTTAATGCTTCTTTTTACTATTTATACCATGAGCAATTAATTCTCATATATTTGTTTATTTCGATGGTGTTTGATTTAACTAATACGGAGTTTACCTTGTGAAATAGTTCTAAAATAAAACGATATGAAAACGCGATAGATACTGTTTAAAATAATAAAAGAATTTCCATTCAAATTAAGAATTGTAATACCTGAAAATGTCGTTATTGGAGTCGTTAATTATAGTTTCGGAAAAAGCAGCCAATATATCAAGACTTTGTCGTCAAGAAGAAAAACTTTTTGAGCTGCTTGTACAGGAAAAAAGTGAATCAGAAGCAAATCCTCGTTTCGTTCGGGATTTTAAGACGTTAGCAGACGTACTCATTCAAGAAACAGTAAAGTATGACATCGGTAAAAAAGTAAGTATTTTGCAGATTTTTTGAAATACCTTTTTAATAATTTTAATTTTTAATACAACTTTCACTTTAATGTGATTAGATAGGTATATACTGAATAATGAAATAATTTTGGAATATTAAATTTCTAAAATGAATTTATACG